TTATATTTTTCAACTATATTTTCAAACATGATTTTCCTTCGAATTTTCTAATTTTTTTTATTTGCAAAATTTTCATATTTGTTTCAAACTTGATTTAAAATTTCTTCTAAGTATGTACAAAGCCTTCATCGAAGGAAAAAAAAATTGACGAATACATTTGCGAATTTAAATTAAAACTTCCGTTTGTGTAGACTAATGAGGAACTACATCAGTGTTTGAATAGAAAAATAAAGCTACAGTAACCCCTTGACTAACTTTTTGATAATTACGATATTTTCATGATTTTCGCAGAAATGCTGTAAACTTTTTACTTGTGAATCTGGCTATCTCAGACATCGTGATTGCAATCTTCATCATACCCGACTTCATCCTAAGCCGCACATTTAGCCATCCTGACGGAGCGACCGGGTCAGTTCTATGCCGTCTGCTGACAGGCGGAAACTTCTCGTGGGTTGGAGCTGCTTCATCGGTTTTTACCTTGATGGTGATATCCATCGAACGCTATCATGCAGTATTGCATCCTTATGGAAATAGATGGAAGCTTAGCTATCACAACCTGAAGGTAAAAATGTTTCTGAGATTTGCATGTACATAGACTAGAATTTAGCGATTAAAGCTGGTGGATAAATTTCTCTCACTCATATCTGGAAAAAATGGTGAATATAATGCATTTTGACGGAGAATCTAAGGTGACCTCAGAGTAATGTCATTGGTCGCATTTTTGCCGAAATTTGGTGGGTCTAGGAATAAGTCTCTCTTTCTTTTTTTAAAGTCAGTGTTTCCTTTAATGCTAATAAAGTTATTTAAAAATTAATGCAGCCATGATGTTTTAATCGGTTCCACCTGCAGCTCTAGCAAAGACGTCACCACAGACGAAATGATCTTTGCTAAAGAAGGAGGCGAAGAGGGGGTTGGAGTAAAGGGCATGAAGATGGCGTGGCTCGATTCTTAAGCATGATATCTTTATTCTTTAATTTTCGTTTCCATTTATCAGTTGTGTACGTTTTTCGTCCCTGTATAGGTAATTATTCCAAGCTGTTGGATCTTTGCAGTGATTATGATTCTACCAACGTTTCTTAGTGTTGATTTTGACAACACCATACGCGACTGCGAAGAATATTGGCCCTCAAAGTGGATGGGCATAGCATACAGCATAACCTTGTTTTTAATCTTGGCCGCCCTTCCTTTGGTATTAATGACTGGCTTATATTCACGAGTGGTGTACGCTTTGTGGTTCAGAAAAAATGATCACACTCAACTCTCTCATCAACAACAAGTAAGAGATGATTGTATGACTCTTTTAATTTAACGGTTTGTGGTACATTACTCTAATTGGTTGATTGGTTAGTTAATCTTAATTAAGCCTTATTTCACTGTGTAGCCAACGAAATTAAAATTTTGCTTGAATTAAAATCTTCGCCTTCTATTCGAACTCTCCAAAAATATGATAAATAATTAACTATCCTTGTCTTCTCGGTCCGTACTGTAAATTATGGAATTTCGTTTTTCCTCTCGGGTTTTTGGCGCACGCACCTTGCGCTTGGGCCATATATCCGAGCGGGAAAAACTCGCTCTAACTTACAACACGGAACGAAAAGCGAAGTTAGTAAGAAGTATATAAAAGAAGTGTTAATAAGAAAAACGGATCCATTTTTTGCCAAAGTGTGTTTGCCAAATCTCGACTCTAAGGAGGGTCTCCAACAAGTTTTTCGGGATCCGGGATTGGGCTTATTTAAAGGCCGAGATCTGAGAATTTTAAGCCAGAAGTGAGCGAGATGCGGGATTGCTATTATGAACGGGACACGGTATTCGGTGATTTTGATCGGATTCGGGATATAACACAAATTGATCTTGTCGGTCATGAAAAGCACCAGGCATACAGGCTCTCTAGCATTCAAGAGGAGATCGGGCTGCTCAGCGACACTTCACGCCGTACCTCTATCAGAGAGAAATTCAGGCGGTCGAACTTCAAGGAGCAGCAAGAAAACAGCGGGAAACAAGACGAAGAGGAAGATGGAATACTGGAGTACGATTCCCCGAGTGATGATGATGACATTCCATCTTTGGAGCGAGAGGCTGATTTTTACCCCGGAAGGGGTCCCCGCTTCAGAAGAACTGTTCGCTTCAACAGCAGAGTTGTGTTCAGTTAATTTTTCTTTATCTTCGTTGTTATGGAACTATGTGATTGCGTGACCTTTTGTGTTTAATGCACTTGTTTAAATTGTTATTCGTTTCTTTGATAGTGATCTACCTGTACCTATACGTTTGTCCGTGATCGAAATTTAATGAAAGGAGGTCGTTACCGTGACCAGCGTGCGTCATTCGTGCAAGACTTTGAAAACTTCTAAAACGAAGGATATCATCATTTTGGTGAAAAGAGATCAACTCACGCCTTACGGTGACCATAGACTTCAGCGGATCAATGCTGGTTAACAAAATCATCACCCACCGGATAGGAAATAGGCTAAGACAATCGGGATCGGGATTGGCCGATATAAACCTTCGGGATTACGGGATTGAGAGAAAATTTTAGTTGGGATCGCGGGATTGATGAACCCTATTGGGGACCCTCACTAGGCAATAAAAGCTTCTTAAAAAGTGACGATGCCCATGTAGCGTGGTTTCTTTGTTTGTTTGCTTTGTTTGTTTGGTTGTTTTCACACAGAAAATGACAGCATAGCTGCTCGCAACTCTAAGAAGTATTGAGTTATCTTTTTAAACTTTTCTTTATAAAGGGTGTCATGAAAGTACGAAGGCGGGTCACTTTAACAGTGACAATTGTCAGTGCCAGTTTTGGAATCTGTTGGATCACAGACTCGACCATCTTTTTCCTGCATCACGTCACTTCACCTTACAGTGATGTAAGTTTTGCTATTGGCACTATAATGATCCTTTCCAATTCTGCTCTCAACCCCTTTGTGTATGCTCTGACCAACAAAAGATTCAACCAGAAGATCAAGGCTATGTTACACCGTAATTTCTTCCAAAGGAACAAGGTTCATCCAGGTGAGGAACATCTCAGCTGCAACGAACTAACGAAAGAACACAAGACGATAGCAGCATTCCTTCAGATTTCCCATTAGGTGGGACCGACTTCTAGAAATTAAGCAATTGTAGGTTGCGTAATCAATCAGCACTACATAAAACTTAACTTACTGGAATAACTGTAAGGAGACACTATGTGTCTGGGGAGCAGCGAAAAAGCGCTAAATTTCTTAGGTTACGAAACTCTGGAGAAAAAGCGTGAGAGCCATGTACGCAATTTAGTCATGAAATGCTTAAGCAACCGTTGTCAACAGTTCTTTATGCACTACTTTAATTATAACAAAGATGTATTACCTGGAGCAACAAGAAGCAGCGGTAAACCTAGACTTCTGTCTATAAAGTTAAAATGTACAAAAAAGGCCCTTTTATCATGGCTGTGTAATTTTTAATCAGATTTTAAGATTTTTAAGATTTTAATTGTAATTTGATTTTTAGGTCCTTTGGATAACATTTTATAGCTATTTTTGAATGTACTTGAGTATCAATATTATTTCCAGTCAATTTAGTTTATAATATATGTTGGACCTCTATGGATAGCAGTTTTTATCTCGTGCAAAAACTGAAGGAGCCACCCTATGGAAATAAAGGTTTCTTACTTAATTAATTGAAGGAAAATTGATCGAGCCTGTCCCACTTTTAACAATAAACAAAGACATATTTTTAAGTAACTTAAAAAGGAACATAAAATAAAACGCAAGAGAAAATTAGAAGCAACAAAGCGAACCTTAACCATGATCTTCGGTAAAAATAAACACAAGAAGATAACAGTTGGACGGCTGACACAGTTTTGTACCTTTATGACGATACCATACTATGTCGTGCATGAACATGTACTCTGCAACAACATGTTCCAAAATTTTTGATTAGCATAAACTGAATACCACCCGGAATCCACGACGAGAAAAAGAAACCATAAAAAGGGATTTCTATGGGATGGTAATGCGCCATGGACCTAACGTTGTGAAAATACTAAAATGCAACTCTTACGTAAGCTATCAGATGAGGTCAACAATCATGAACTTTTTCTACGATTCGTAAGTCAAACGAGAAGAAAGTATAAATGTTCCAAATTTAGATAAAACACTTAAACAAAGAATCACAAGTTGTGAACAAATAATGACAAGTTCTGTTAAATTTGGCCAGTTCCTGTGCATGTCATGATTGACCTCTCTGATAATTTCCTAAAAATACAAACTTTTCTAAAACTTCGACATTACGACATTCTCGCGAAACTCATTACAAGATGGCAATTATGGTGGCAATGATAACAAGCTCATTATCTAGATTAATCATATCTTGGAGCTTCTTCTTGCGATGTTTGTTGCAACTGCACTACCTCCGTAGTGTAAGTGGCGTCTTGGGTGCTATCCTGACCTGGGATAAAGGCATCCACCTTTGTTTTGCACAAACCAGGGCAGCATATCAGTTCCTTGATGTGCTGTCTAAAGCGATGATTAACGAAGGCATATATGAATGGGTTAATGGCGGAATTGGCAGTCACCTCAGCAACGGATATGATATGCAGTAAATCGCTGTGGTACTGGGTGCGACTGAAGTAGCTGATGACGTACATCGTTTGGGCGGGAATCCGGCAAGCGGCAAAGACCATGCTAACTGTGAAAACCATTTTGGTGATTCTTCTTCGAATCCTCAGCACTCCCTAAAATTATGAAATTGGCGAAATGGTTGTGAAAGAAATTGCTAACATTGAAAGCCTCTCTCAAAGCATTTGCTGTTCTTGATCTATATCCCTATGCAAGCTTGCCAATTCCTAGGTTATGTTTGTCCAAACACCGTCGAGCTTTAAAAGAAAGAGGGAGTTAGATTTTTAAATTAAACCGTGTTTGTAATGAACGGAGTATTTATAAAAGATAGAACTCCTGCCTTTTTTCTTTAGAAGAAGGACATAACATACTGGAATGACGCTGATTCTTGAGGAAGTGGCCTAGTTTCGTTCCAGCAATAACAACACAGAAAAAGTTTGGTAATGCTGTGATTGCCTCCAAAAATTTTGCTTTTTCAATGGGGCTAGTTAGTTAATCAGTGAACAAAAAAAACATTGTATAGTCTCTCGCTTAATTCTGAGTTAGTCTACGAAAACAAAAACATTCAAAGAACCCCGTGCTTGCCTGTCGAGTGCTGTCGCCATCATCCTCATCAAGAAACCAGAGCTGATACACGACTCTTGCGTACAGTCCGATCATCAGGAATATGGGAAGATAGCCGGTCACCACAAGCCATATCAAGCTGCTGGACTTTGCCATCCATTCCTCTGGCCAGTTCTCCATACAAGTCTTGTGCTTTGTGCTGTACCGGTCGGTCAACAGCAGAGGCAAATTGAAGAGGATTGCTAATAGCCAAATTACTGGAACAATGATCTGCAAGAATGTAATGAGCGATGGAGTGAGAAATTAAACTAACACGAATATAAAAATTTGCCCAAGGGGAGATGGCGGCTGGCTCTCAAAATCTCTGATTGACAAACAAAAATTGGAAGCTGCAGTTTCGCCGATTTGTGTGATTAATAATTCTGCCACCTTATTCATATCTGCTATATCACCAAATTATACATACGCGTTTGGAAACGATTGAAAATACGGATCTGCAAAGGTTAATGTAATTTGGACACCCCAGTGATACTGATATCTTTTCGTGTTGAGTGTATGAATTGTCTCTGCTTTTACTCAATTATTGTATGTTTTATTTTCCTTTTCGGCCTCTTTGCTTTTTGATTTAGCTTTTTCCTTACCTCTACCTTCGCAGCTGTCAATTGTGTGCCTTGTGGGTTCATGATTGCGTAGTATCTCTCTAAAGCTACAACAGCCAGTGTAAATGCAGAAGCAACTGCTCCAATCCAAGACAAATTACCACCGGTCAGCAGCTTACAGATAACTGTACCAGTCATTCCATCAGGGAGTATGTAAGCATTAAAGAGCACAAACCGAGGAACTACGAAAAGGGCGACCAAAATGTCTGCTACAGCCAGGTTCAGGATTAGATAATTCATTGGAATCCTGACAAAAATTGAATCAAAGTTGATAAACTTTTTATTGTCTAAATTCTATTTTGATTTCTTAGCGTAAAGATGTGACATAAACCCTTTTTAACCTCAGGTTTATATTTGCAAAGATCCTGTACAGTCGATTAGTGGGTGACTAAGTACCCCCCTCCCCTCCTCCATGCCTCGGTTATTGGTTTATAATGATAAAAAAAGCCATAAAATCGAAACAAATGAAAAAGAAAACAATGATTAGGTAAAAAAGGCTTAAAGGATTAATTTTTTTCCTTTTCTTCCGCTTGTCACATCTGGTTATGCATGAAATTTCAAGTCACCTTCATTTCAGCCTTCAAGTGTCCCACATGAAATCCTTCACCATTGCAAGTGGCGTCTGACTCACCTCATATCTTTGAATTTAACGATCAGCACACAAACAATCACGTTTCCAATGATGTCCATGGCAGTGAGAATAGAGAACATTGTAGCCAGGCCGATCATAGTGGCTTTTGATTCTGTGTAATACCACATGATGCAAGTGTTTCTCAGTCTGAAAATTTTCATACGAACAACCTAATGAGAACTTAGATCTTCTTACATGATGGTAGGAACGTGCAAACGTTTGTTAGGACAGTTATCAGTATCAGTACAACGTTTTCTGTTTCCGTTCTTTTTTTCGCTTTGGGATAAGAAATCTATTGAACTTATTGAATTATATTAAAAGGAATATGATGAAGGCCACCCTATGTGGTGCAGCTGGCTAGGTTGCCCAATTCACAGTTTGAAAATGGGAAAAGTAACGTACTCCATGTAGTTCAGTGTGTAGTTCAGTTTTGTAAAATTCCTAAAAGTATGAAAACAGTTGTCTTTCTCAGTCTTTCTCATTCAAAGAAATTATTTTTGATAAACATGTTCACTAACCTCCAAAATGTTCCTTTTCAAAACTATCGAAGAGAAGGAGGACAGATCGAGAGCTAACCGCGATACTAAGCCGTGATACTAAGGTGGTGATTTCTTAATCACACAAGGAACTATCAAACACTATTTTCATTAAACCAAGCAGGATGCACCAGTTAAGAAAACTCTTCAGATATCCAGAAAGATTGACATTTGCAATTATAGTGGTTTGCTTTACAAGGCTAAGCGATATTTCTCGTTTCGTCCTTTAGAGTATTTTTCACCTCCTATTCCTTGAGAAAGATCCCATAGAAAATATGCGATACAATAACAAAGAAAAGTGACTTTTCACTCATACGAGAAATTAAACTTTTTTCCTTGAATTATCTCCAGGCTTTTTCAAGTAAACGAAGGAAATGTAAAGGTTCTTGACTTGAGGAAATTAACTGAACTCAATAACTGATCATCGTAATAAAATGTAATAACGCCAAATACCCGTCTAAATATAAGAGGCTTCTCAGGAAAAGAAATAGGTCTCTATAATTTCCCCAGAAATGAAAGAGTTAATCTTTACAGACAGAGAACTCAGTCACTTTTAGTAATATGCCGCAAAAACGCATCAGTTACCGTGCACATCCAAGGCAGTCTCGAAGGCACACTGTCTAAGAAAGCTCGACAAGAATAAAGTCGCCTCGAGAGAGGCAAAAAGAACAGTCAAAAACAAGGTCCAGCAGATATCCATGGTCGACGCCGTATGCTCCCCAGCGGCAGCGAATCGAAGATGGCTTAATCTCTTGTTCGCTCTATGCGTTTTATCTTCAACATACCACGGACTATATTTCCTCAGCAGGGATATTGTATTTATTTCTGTTCAATTTTTTATTTAAATTTTTCGTTTCTATGTTTGTTTTTATTTCTTCGTTTGCTTGTTTCTTTTTTTTTTCTAACGAGGCAAAAAAATTTTTCTTATGCAATAGATGTAACTGCCTTTAAAGAATTCTTTGGTCGGGTAACTCTCTTCACTGTTTTTAAAATGATGGGCATCCTTTAAACATGTGTTGCCGAGTAAATTTATAGATTTTTTTTGTTATCAGTACTGACAAAGATTCAGGGAAATATTCAGATTACTTCGTGAATCGCTATCTTCAAATATAGGAAATAATAAATGCATGACGACCTATATAACCATTTTACCTCTTTATTAAACGTCTGTACAATATTTTCCTATTACGCAAAGTTGAAAAACTTAGCATCTAATCTATCCCGTTCAGGTTCAACTGTAAACTTCGATATCTTTTATACAAGGTAATATTATCTCCTACAAACTTATTTAAGTGTTCGTTAACGACAATTAAACTATAGCACGTCCATCTGAAGAAAATCGTGCACAGTAGCATCGCGGCATCTCATCAGCCGTGTGTTTTGTATCATTAAGTTGAAATTATTGCAAATGTAATGATGGTACAATTTCACGTGGATTATAACTCAAATTTAAACTCCTTGATGCCCATAGAACCTTTGAAACAACATTAAAGAGGATGCCACTTGTAACTTGCAAAGTTATTTGTTACTCAAAATAACGAGAAATGTCAGGCCTTGAAGCCGATTCATTAAGAACAGAACTTGCAATGGCCAGTTTTCCATTATGATATTCAGTTTTATGTAAATATATCATATATTATACCTGCACATTTAACGTATGCCAGAAGCCTCATTATATTCTCTACGTTTAGTTACATGCTTGGCTACCTAAAAAAAATTTCCGTTAGTTGAAACGGCTTTCCTTTATAAGTTTTCTCCTTTCTCATATTGGCGAAAAAATCATTCAGTAATTTCAACGTTTTAAGAGGCCCTTTGTTTCATTCGCGTTTAATTTCGTGTCATTCGGAGAACAAATTTGCATAAGGTTAGACAATCTCGCTTCAGACCATAGTATTTTTGTGATCGATAGTATAGCAGTATCACAGCTCCTTTTATCTTTCAAAAATTAATCAGTTATTCTAACCTAATTAAGCTATGAAGCATACCACAGTAATTCGCCGTTCTTTAAGAGGCCTTAGCCCAATCATACGGCGCGGCCGTATTCTTAGGGCACATTTGAACACATTAAATACTTAAAACATCGGTGAATACGTCAAAAATTTCCTCGATATGCAAATATTGATTCACGAAAAGAAAGCCTCTATTCGATGTCACTCTCTTTTCAAGTCAAATTTCTCAGCTATGTTTGGCATTGTCAGCTTAACAAATAGAAAAAAAAATTATCCGCTTCCGTTCTCGCCGAGTAACAATTTCAATCTAATTTCAAAGCATGTAGTGCTTAAAACCATATAAAGGTTATTAGTCATGGTCGATATGCATTACATTACGTTTCGTAATCAAACAGAAATTTGCACTTTTATTTTCAATTGTTCTTGCAAGAAAATTTTGCGAGAATTAAAATTACCTCCGATCTAATCTCTTGTATCCGCCAGCAGTAAAGAAACGGGTTGAAAGCCGAATTGGCGAACAACAAAGTCATGGTATAACTTAGAGTGACAATTTTCGCTTTGGTTACGGTCGTCGTTTGTATGACTACGAACATGGCCAGGTATGGAACATAGCAAATAAGCATTAAAATATAAACATAAAACATGTTAGCCACAGATCTTTTGTATGCTCCAAATCGTAGTTTCGATTTTGAACCACTCGAGCTGCTTCTTTCTTCTTGGTTCGTTGTTGATTCGGCGTCCTGCCATCGTAACATGGTGCGAACTCTCAACTGGTGAAGCCTGTATCCGAGTCGGGCATACGCACTTGTACAGAAAATCAAACATATCGTAACAACGATTATATTAAACTTTTCATATATTTTGATATCCCATACCCAGTTGAAAATCCACAAACCAGTTAGCACCCACATAGTGACTATGACCGTTACTACCCTTGGAAGCGTTACGGTTCTTTGATATCTGGACCCAAGGTGAAGAGCCAGAAGGCGATCGGTGGCTATGGCTGTCACTGTCAGAAAGGAAACGGCAGAGAAAACGTTCGCTGACAAATGGAATCCAATTCCTGTGACGCAGTACAACTGATGCATGTTCAATATTTCAGCCGTTTTGTACAACACATAGAAAGGTTGAACTGTCGATCCAACAAGGAGATCGGAGGCGGCAAGGCTGTAAACCAAAGCTCTGGAAGCTGGTCTAAGCGCGGCAGATCTTCGGAGCGCTTGAAGGACGAGTCCATTTCCAAGAATGGCCAGAACTGCTAATACTGCGTTAAGCGTACAGTTAACGATGTATTCCGTTGTTGGCGGACCGCTATGGAAAATCTGAAACCGATCCAGGTAATAGCAGGTTTTTCTTGCTACAGCTGAGGAATTAGTAAAGAGTGGCCCATCTGTGTTGCCCAAGGAATTGTTCGCCATCAGTTAAGGTTTTTTACCTCTCACGTACCTGGCGAGTTACAAACCACTACCTCTGACCAATGTGATCAAATCAATTATATTTGATCCGCTTTATGTGATGTGAAGCGATACAGCTGTGTTGTACCCACACTTTCATCTTGTCATACATCATGACCTTCCGATGTGAGGCAAACATTTGATAAAACATTATTTGTATTCGAGAGAATGTCAAGTCAGATTAACATAAATAGTACCGAAAGCAAATTGAATCGTTTGGGTACTGCGTGATGAGAATAAAGAGTTTTGTTTACACAAAAGGTCGGGTCATTCTTTAATTTGAGATTTAAATTTAGGACATCTAGAACTCCGTGATGCGTTTTAAGACGTGACTGAAGATAAAAGAAACGTGTTTTTTTTATGAATGATTTAAATAATTTTTTAGCCGTTGCTACTGAACTATCATTTCAATTAAACCCCCTAAAAAATCATGTTGTTTAAAAAAATAATTATTCATATGACTAATAACGTACTATATATGCATTAGAGTGATTGACACACCAAATTTATTTTTTCAAAATGATCAGCCTAACTTGAACGTTTTTTCGTTGAACACTTTGGAATTGCTGGAAACATAAAAGGGATCAATGATAAATCGAAAATATTGCATCATGACCTGATCGGAAGTATTACTTCATGACAGCCGGTAAATAATACTCACAGGAAATTGCTCGTATAACAACGACGTCCTTTTGTTTGTTTATTTCTACTTTTGTTTTACTATCCCTTCTCGCTTTTTTTTCCCTTGAATTCAACTGCTTAGCCTTTATTCTGCTCCAAGCTAATCAATAAAACTCTAATTTAATTTTCACAAGTACAGAATATCCTTCTCAACAAGATTTGAAAATGCCGTAAATGCACGCTACCGACATCATAATATCAACCTTTATGATAAACCTTCATTTTCAGCAGAACTTCCTTTCTCGCCGCACGTTTTCCTCTATGATAAAATGAAAATGCCGTAAATGCACGCTACCGACATCATAATATCAACCATTATGATAAACCTTAATTTTCAGCAGAACTTCCTTTCTCGCCGCACGTTTTCCTAGCTATAATGAATTCCTCTGTCATTTTCTTGTTACAAAATTTAGTCAATAAAAAAACCCGGAAAATTCAATAATTTTGCTCATATTTCTTCGTTTTTCTCTTCCCTCTTTCGTGTTATCATTTCTTTCTTTCCTTTAAA